ATCCACATCTACACCCACACCTTCACCCACACCCACACCTGCACCTGCATCTACACCTACACCCGCACCCACACCTACATCTATACCCACACCCACACCTGCACCTGGACCTGCACCCACATCTACATCTATACCCGCACCCACACCTGCACCTGGACCTGCACCCGCATCTACATCTATACCCGCACCCACACGTGCACCTGCACAAGGACCTGCACCCCCACCCACATCTACCTCTACACCTGAACCCACACCTGCACCTGGACCTGCGCCTATACCTGCACCTGCCCCTGGACCTGCACCTACACCTGCACCCGCATCTACATCTACACTTGCATCCATGTCTGCACCTGCACCTGCACCTGCACCTACACTTGCATCCACGTCTGCACCTGCACCCACACCTGCATCTACATCTACACCTACCTCTGCTCTGCACCTGCACCTGCACCTCACCTGGAGGCCACAGCCACACTCAGCTCAACCAAGTGCAGTCCCTCTTAGCCCCTCAATGCCCAGGCTGAAACAAAGTGGCTTTCTTGAGCCTGAGGTCACCTTTCCATCCCGACTCCACACCTTGCTGCCCTCCAGCTCTGGGCAGTGCTGCCCCCCTGTGCTTTCCTGGCCGTGTCCTCATCCCCTGCCCCACACCTGTGCCCCTCCTGGCTCCTCCTGGCGACACTGGCTCCCCTCCCTCTACGAGGACCTGCTCTGGCTTCCAAAACACCCAGTGTGGCCTGCGCCACTGCCCGACACCGTGCTCTCTGTGCCGCGGCCTGGGCTGCGGGAGGGCGGACGGTGGCATCTCCCCACACAGAGCAGAGTCCAGACGCTGCCAGGCAGGAGGTCCTCCGGGCTGAGTCCTGGGCTACTCCAGCAGCCTCAGTGCCCTCCTTGTCCCTGCGGACCCTCCCACGGGGTCCTCGAGGGGATCTGCTCTGCTCCCTGTCCCCCCAAGACTGGGCCTGCTTTCCTGCCCCCAGCCTGCCCCTGCCCAGCCCACACATCTTGCAGCCAGGACTCCTCAGCCTGTCTGTGCACCACAATCACAAAGCAGCTTTAAAAATGCCAAGCCCTAGGCCCCGCCTGGAGATTCTGGACTGGCCTGGGCTCCAGACGCCCCCATGCAGCCAGGACGGAGGGCCCCACCCCATCACCCCCACCTCTCCTCCCAAGGCAGGTCATGCCCAGACCCGCAGTTCCCAGTGGGCCTGCCCAGCCAGGGTCTCCCTTCAGGGGCCATTTTGGGCCCTCACCCTTGCCCATCACCCCAGAGGCCACCCAGGACAGGACGGCCCACTCGGGACAGGACGACCCAGGGGAGCTGGCCACACCTCGCTGTATCAAGTGCTCCAGGGCTGACCCTCCCTCCACTCCCTGGGCCCCTGGGGGCAGGGCCAGGAGCTGGGTGTGGGGCAGGGGGGAGCTGCAGCCCCACTTAGCCCACCTCCCCCATCACAGACCCAGGAGGCCTGGGAGGAGGCAGCAGCGGTCTGGCCCTGTGTGTCTGACATGCAGGCCCCTCTAGCCCACCCCATGTGCCCCCAGGGGACGGACCCCCTGCTGTGACACGAGGCAGCACCTACAAGTGCCCACCAGGAGTTCTGCATCTCTTCTCTCACAGTGTATCCTCCCCACCCCCACAAAGTGTTTGAAGCACGTTTAGTAAGACCACTAACACGAGCAGGCGTCCCGAGTTCCTGCTCAGAACTGAGCTTCCCAGGACGGAGGCTGGAGCGGGGGCGGGGTGACGGAGCTGGCTCCGGGGAGCACAGACACAGAGGCTGGTCCCCACCCACCCCGAGGGCCCACCGAGGCAAGCTTGGACCAAAGCCATCCTGTGCGGGGCACCGCTGGGCTCCAGGCCAGGGGATCTGCCCCAAGCCGGTGCTTGGGGCGGGGTGGTAGGGGAGGTGACGGGCGGATACCTCTCCGGGCAGCCCTCCATGAGGACCACTTCCCCGGGCTGCCCCAGACACACCAGCTGCAGTGTTTTGAGGTTTCGCTGCAACCGAACAACAGGATTGCAGTTCCAAAGCCAGCAACGGTGGGAAATCAAGTACGTCAGACGCCCTGGAGAGTCGGGCCCCCTTGCCGGCCCCTCCGCCCACCAGCACCCAGCCTGCCCTGTCCAAGCCATGAGGGCAAAGGGGGGCCCAGACCCAGCCAGGAGCGCACAGGATTTGGCAGTCACAGTATCGTTACTGTCCCGTTGTCACCGATGCTCTCTGAGCAGGGACAGATCTAATGCAGCACAGGAGCCAGCCAGGCCCATAGCAGGCCCTCCACCTCCGCACGGGTGCTCTGGGGCCAGATGCAGCCCGGCCCAGCCCAGCCCTGAAGGTCTCGGGACCCCTCACCCAGCCTCACAGCTGGACAAACACCAGGTTCCCCATAGGGCCGAGAGAGCCGGGGCCGGGACACCCACTGTGAGGGTCTCCCCCAGGAGCCAGCGCCCACCCACCCGTGCCATCTGGACCTCGCAGTCCCAGCCCAGCTCTGCTGCAAGCCAAGGGGGCGCCACAGAGCCCAGGACCACACGCCCGCCAGCGCCGCTGGCCTGTCCACGTGGGGCCGGTGAATCAAGGAGCAAAGTCTAACCAGTGCGCATGGAAAATAATACCTTAATCCTCCAATTATCATACCAAAACTCTCTGCTTTCCCCCCAGCGGTAAGCACCAAGCAAACCATCCACAAGAAATTAACATATTTTCCTGCGTTTTCTTCAGCTGTTTTTTTCCAAACAGCGAATACTTAAAACAGAGCAAATGGACCATCAAAAACTGACCTATGCTCCCCACTGGAGACTCGGGGAGAGGAACCGCCCGCGGCGGGGGGGGCGGGGGGGCCGGCAGGCATGTGTGCACGTGTGCGGCCGTGTGCAAGGGCACGAGCAGGCCTCAGAGCAGTCAGCAGCATCGGCACCCCACTGCCCTTCCCCTGGCCGGCGTGCCCAGGGCCCGTCAGGAGCCCAGGCCACAGCACCTGCGTCCCCAGCTCCACGAGGGGGCCCCGCTGCCTTCCCCTCGGAGGGCCTCTCCCTGGACCTCGCAGGGGCCCCCGCGTTTCTAGGGCGCCTCTCCAGGATCAGAGCATCTACCGGTCACTGAGGCATTGGCCAGCACAGTCCTTCCCAAAAGAACGGCGCTCAAGGGTGTGGGGCCAGCACCAGGCACCAGGCCCTTGGGGAGGAGGGGCCTCAGGCCAGGGTCCCGCCTCGGCCAGGGCCACTGGGCATCTCTGCAGTGAGGGGTTAGATGTGCACATCGACGGAAACCACTGGACACCAAGCAGGAAATCTGCACCCCAGAGAGCTGTGGGAGCCTCCAGCCACATTCCACTCCCACGAGAGGAAGCACGCACACCATCCATGAACACACATAGCACACGGAACAGTCATCCGTGGGAAAAAAGACAGCCCTTCTCCACCAAGCCCTAACCCGCCTCCCGGGCCCGTGTCTGTCCTCTGTCTGAGACAGCCTGACGCAGGCTGGGACCTCGATTCCGGAAACAGGGACTCGGAGGCAGGGGGGGACCGTCCGAGGGCAGGTCTGGGGTCCGAGGGGGCACCCAGACGGCCACAGGGGCCCCGCCTTCCTCGGGGCAAGTCACTCCAACCTGGCTGTCACCGCCCAGCAGGGTCAAACTCCCAGGACCCCCAGGCTCAGCGTCCATCACCAGCAGAGTCTGGCCCTCCTCTGGCTGCTTCCTTGCGGTATGGCCCTGAGCAAGTTGCCTAAGCTCGCTGAGCCTCAGTTTCCCCATCTACACATGGGGAACCTGATGTCGTGAGGACCAGGAGGGGAGCCACCCGGCCCCTAGCAGCTGAGGTACCCCGAGCAGGCCCCACCCCTCGGTCACCTATCTCTGGTACTTGTAGAAATTCCCCATATGAAAAGAAATGGCCGGATGCTTCAAAACAAAATTTAACTGGGATGGAGAGAATCTACCTGGGACCACCATGGCAGAAATAAGCCCCAGCCCTTCATCCATGGATCCGTCATGGGGACGATCCATCTCTCTGGATCAGAGGGCCGTGGCTGGCCGGCCTGGCAGGGAGGGCGGCCCGGCTGAGCTGAGCAGACACACGTCCTCGGCCACCTGCCCACCTGCCCAGAATCGCAGGGCCTCCAGGAAAGCACAGTGCCACACGCACAGTGGGTGGACTCCTGACCCAGCCGGACAGGCCACGCATCTGCCACAAGGTTACAGTGCCATGGTCTCCACCCTCTGGGCACCCTGCACACAGTCAGGCCAGAGCAGGACATCAAGTGGCCCCACATGTGGTCAGACAGACTCATGGTTGGCCAGGACCATCACCTCCCCCGACCTGGGTGCACAACCTCTATTAATGTAATCTGTGGTGGAATCACAGGACGTGGGGCCTGTCAATCCCTCCACTGGGTGGGCCCTGAGCTTGCAGTGAACGAAGTCTGTATCCCCTCAGGCTGTTGCCGGGTCCTGTGGTTAGGTTTGAATCCATGTCTTGCCACAAAGCCAGCTGGAGCTTTAGCGGGACAATCTGGCTTGGTTCCCACTCGCCCCCAGTGGGTGGGTGATCTGGGAACCTGGCTGAGCTCTGAAGCCACTGTTGCCCCTGCTGCAGGGTGAGGTCTCTGCAGGAAAGCCAGCCTTGGGGCCCAGGGAGAGCCATCAAATGCCCTTGATTCAGACGCTGGACACACGATATGGAATTTTCTGTATGTTATTTTTATGACATTCAGGAAGTGACAAGACAGAGGTGCTGGACGCCCCAGCCTGAAGCAGCCCCAACACCACCTGGTGCCCAGCCCAGCCCAGCGTACCCACCGGCCCCAGGTACGGCAGCCCCTCTGCCACAGCCCCCACGCGGAATTGCCCCTCAGCCGCCTCCCCATCCAGGCTTCCGGGTCTATGGCCGGGAGGAGCATGTCCTTGGGACTCTGTGCCCAAAACCCACACGACCAGCCCCCACTCACCTCCCTCACCTCCCTGGACAAGGGTCCTGCTCTGGCCGCCCAGCCTCTGGGACGTGGGCCCCGGGAGCCCCCAGCGCGCAAACTGCTGCGGCCCGCAGAGCCCCGCCGTGTGGAAGCACCGCTCCCCCAGCCCGTGGGCGCCGGGCCTACCTGCTGGGGTTGTACTCGAGCGCGCCCACCTCCTCGCTGGCCTGCAGCAAGTCCAGGATGCCCGCGGCCGAGCCTCCGCCATCCTTCTTCACCTTGGCGTTGCGGGTGGGCTTGGTGTCCGTGTCGATGTGCAGCGAGCCCTCGTCAGAGGAGTCGTCGCTCTGCTGGGGGACAGGGCACAGGTCAGAGCGGGGCTGGGGGGCAGGGCTGCTGCTCCCCTCAGAGAGAAGGAGACGTTGACAAAAGCTTCTAAAGAGCCCACCTAGTGAACAAGCGTCTCGGGGCGGCTGGCCAGACACACTGGGCAGGCGTGGGTGCGAGCTCTCCACTGGGATGCAGGGCCCCAAAGGGTGGAGCTGTCCCCACACCCGGCACGCTTCCCACAGAGGAGCCCTGCTCACAGGACCTCACGAGAGACCCCAGGGCTGCACACAGATACAGGAGGCAGCGTGTGGACAGGCAGTGGGCGGGAGAGCGTGCCCGCACCCGAGGACCCCAGGCAGCCCTGGCAGGTGGCTCTGCAGGGACACCCCAGGCTCCCCAGGCAGCATGTGGCCCCTAGGGGAACCAGCCTCCCGAGACGGCCACCAAGCCCTGGGGTGGACGTGACCTTAGAGGTCATCCAACCTAACACCCACACCCTAGTATAAGACCCCCAGAGGCAGGGCCACTCCCCCTGCACCTGTCATCAGACACCGGGGGATCGTTATCTTCAGGGCAGGTCCAGCCGGGGGAGCAGCTCCCAAGGCCCACCACCTACAGAGACCCGCAGACCCTCCACGCACCCTGCACCTGTTTTCATCCCTCCTGTGGGGCCCCAGAGCTCACTGACCCCACATCTGGAGCCCAACCCGGCCCCTGTGAAGACCCCTGAGTAAAGGATGGGCCGTGAGGACGTGCCCTCCTGCAGCCCACATGGGAAGCTCCGTCAGAGAAGCCCCACCAAGCGGCATGTGGCCACAGCCTTGAGGACAGGCAGAGTCAGGGCCGGGCCTCTCGCTGGCCCCCGTGGCGGCCCCGAGGGCGCTCACCTTGTAGGGCGCCGAGTCCAGCTTTGGCTTCGTGATGGGCGTGGGCAGCGGCTCCTTCTTGTCCAGCAAGACTGAAAGCAGAGCAGATGGGAGTCCGCGGCGGCTTTGGAGGGGGTCCCCCGGCCGGCCATGCCCGGGATGGCCCTGACAGGGCTGGGCCTGCCCCTCTCACGCCCCCCCGACTCACAGGACAAGTCCCTCTTGGGGGCGTTCTTCTTTCTCCTGATGGGAAACTCGTCGATCTTGAGCTCGCCGTCGTCTGACACGTACTCATACTCGTCCCGCACAGGCTGCGGCTTGTCCTCCTTGAAGTTCTGCAAAGGCCCGAACACCCCCGGGCTCGGCTGCGGCTTGAGGGCCTTGGAGCTGGGCAGCAGAAGTGGGCCGGTCAGTGGGCGTCCGCACGGCCCGGCCAGTGCCCTGGCACGGGCCTCAGAGGACCAGCAGCTGGGCTGGAGCCTCCCAACCCCCAGCCTCCTCCTGTATGCAGCCCGTCCTCGGGCTGTGTGACCGTGCCCCACAGTCCTCCCCCTGCCGGCCCCTGGACGAGCACGGCCATCCCTCAGCCTGCTCGGGCCTCACACGAGCCAGACTCAGAGCCAGACGGGGCCGGCGCCAACCGGCCTGGGCTTTCTGCAGAGCTGTTTTGGAAAAACAAATTCAGGGCCTCAGTGTAGAAGCAACGGTCTAAAACTCACCCTTGAGCTCGTCTCCCTTCGGGGGAGGCAGGGCTCCTGCAGACAGAGAGAGCCCCACATGCTCCAGCCCCCACATCAGCTGGGGGCGGGCAGTGGGGACAGCAGGCCAGGGCGAGACGCCTGCAGTTCCCAAGGAGGACAGCTCCGAATCCCAACAACGGAAACTCGGGGGGACAGCCACCCAGCCCTGTTGGGTGTGGGCACGAGCTACACAACACACACACACCACACACAAGCACACACACGTACATATATACACATATACATACACCACACAAACACACCACATAGTGCACACATACATGTGCATACCACAAACATACAAACATGCACCTGCACACACACATGTACATGCACACATATGCATACAAACATACAAACACCACACACATATTTACAAACATGCACATACACACACCACATACAAGCACCCATACATGTACACACATATTTACACAAACACACATACACGCACCCCTGCACACAGACAGGTGTGACATGGTTATAAAGTCATGTCCGCCGTCTTCTCCTCCATTTCTGACTCTCTATAGCACGGTCCGCCGTGGAGTTTTTGCCGGGGAAAAGCTCCCGGGACGTAGCCACTGAGCTCCAGACAAACCGAGGATGTGCTCAGGGCCATGAAGGCAGGACCCCGGGGCCCCGCAGACCAGACCCATCCCCTCCACTGGCTGAGTGGCCTCAGCTCATCGCTGTGAGCTCCCCGGAGTTAACAGGCCGCCCACCAGGCTCTGCACACGCACCAGACACTCGCCCGCCCTGTTTCCCCACAGCCTGGAAGTGGCCTTCTCCTTCCATGTCACAGATGAGGACACTGAGGCCCATGGCAGAAAAGAAGTCCCATCCCCACTGGGACATGTCTGCTTCCCGCCCCATGGCGCCCAACCCAGACTTTGGACTCCACCAGCACCCGGCCCCTCCCAGCATGAGCACACACGTACCCCAGGAGCCTCTTGTTGGAGAAGGAGAATGAGAACTTGGTGTCCTTGTTTCCTGACAGAGGAGACCGCTCCAGCTTCTGCTCCTCCTCCATCTTCAGTAGGGAGTCGGGTTTGCTGTTCTGAAAAGCAAACCCAGGACGGTCACCATCCTTGAGCACCACACAGGTGGTCAGTGGGGAGAGGCAGCAGGACCGGCCAGCCTCCTCCCTCTGAGCACACCACCTGGATACTCACGCCCACTGCAGCCCGGGCCTGCAGGACCTGCCGATGCTGCCCAGCTCCAGAGAGTGTGAGCTCGAACGCGGGCCCGGCCACCAAGGGCAACACCACCCGTCAACGGAGAGGGCGACGTGCTCAGCCTCTCAGGCTGGGATGCACCCAAGTCAACCCCTGGAAGCTGGCCCCATGGAGGCCCAGACCCTCAAGGAACTTCACAGCACTGCCCACCTGGGGACAGGCAGACACACGCCTGCCCATGCCCTACAAACACACACACACAGCCGCACAGGTGCGCACCCCTACTCACACCACCAAGCCCACATGCGCCCCATATGCCACCTTCTCTCATGAAGGCAGCCCTCCCTGCAGGTGGGTTCACTCACCTGCACACCTGCACACACGCACATGCACACGCATACATCTCACCTTGTACTTCCACTTGGCCTCTGATTTGCTCTTCGCTTGCTCTCGCATTTCTAGCTTCTCCACGTCGTTCTGCGTGCTGATCACCTCCTTGTTGGGCACACTCAGGACACTCTTTGTGGCCTAGAACACAGCAGCTGTGACCCAGCAGCAAAAATGGGAGGGCAGCAAAGCACCCTCAGGCTATAGCACAAAAGCAAGAGCCCACAGCACAGAGCTCCTGCCTCTGGCTGGCCCACATACAGCAGCTCATTCACCCACCCATCCTTCCATCATCACCCATCCACCCATCCATCCATCCATCACCCATCCATCCATCCA